TTTAAAACAATTAGACCAGTATATGCTTCAATATTACTCTTTTAAAGCGGAAAGTATAGCGAAACAACAAAAATGCCGAGAACTTTGCAATACGCGTGACGTCACAGATTGCAACTAGGTTGTTTTTGCTTACGTCGGCTAGAGTCCTATCCATTTATATTATTATCCATGCTTTCACTAACTGTCAACTCTCATCCTTGTTTAGCGCAGAAAAGTAACATTAAACTCACTTCGAGATCAAGATCCACCATACAACCCTTTCACTGCAATAGTTAAATCCAGTCTACCAGACAGAACTCATAATTATGGTCTGCGCAATAATAATCCGGAATTAACTTTCACCGATAATGTCTGAACGCTTTAGTTTGGGAACTTTTTGCCATTCAATATAGTTAGGTTTTGATGAATACATATTTACATATTTTTAAAGTTTAAACACTTCCCGCACACGAGTGACACGACATACTCCAACTTGGTCAAGGATATACTTTTAGTGTGGATATATATGCCATGCACTTGGTCAGTCACACGCGATTGCTCCTGCCATAGTTCCTAAACTGCATTATGTATATATTTACTGTAAATAGATAAATATAATAAATCTTCCTTTAAATAAATCTTTTTTTTGTTATCTAGTCTTACTTTTTATTTCAATTAATGTAAATATTTTTGTTTCATGTAATTCAGCTTCGGCTACAAATCTAAATAAACTGGATCTAAATAAACTAATAATAATAGGCTACAGCTAAACGCGAAACCTCCCAGAGCCAGGGTAACTCAGGAGAACAGTAACAATCCCATTACCCATACAAAAGAGAACTGGTTGAGTACGAATCACCTTCACTTGCTCTGGAAATTGGCTGGCTAAAAAACCTTAACTTACTTTAACTGAAGCGGAAAGAAAGTTTAATGGCACTTTCAATAACCCATCGACGCTGGTAGGCGCTGTTGTTATAACTTATAACCCTCGGTTGCACCGTTACATAATAATAATATATTTATTCCATTACACCATTACTGGTACATAGGATATATTACAATATAACAGATACATATACAAACAATAAAACTAGTACTATAGCTAATACTTAATTACAAACAGTACAGTCAGAGAA